AAAGAAATTCAAAAGAAATTCAAAAGAAAAGCCAGAGGATCAAAATTGGGTTTAAAAGCCCCGAGAAAATCAAAGTTTTTTCCCCCCAGACTCACCCAGCTCCTCCCTGAGCTCGGCTGGGGAAGCACAAAAGGAGAATTTCCGTGAGAATTCCCGGAATTCCCGGAATTCCCCCCGGGGGAATTCCCACTCACCCAGTTCCCTGTCCCGTTGGGCTGCAGGGAAAAGGCCAGGAAAGGACAAAATCAGTGGTGAAAGGGAGGGTTTGGGGCTTAAAATCCCAATTTTAACGGGATCTCATTTTAGTGCCCAGTTTTAAACCCCAAATCCCCAAATTTCAGGGAAAATCCCCCCCTGTTTTCCAATCCCAAAGTTCCCAGCCCAGCCCCGTGTCCCCCATCCTGGGAACCCGAGGAATAATTCCCATTTGAGCTCAGATCCCTTCATTCTCCAGCCCCAAAATCCCCACTTTTAAGCCCCAAAATCCCAAATTTCCACGGAAAACCCCCCGATTTCCAACCCCAAAGTTTCCAGCCCAACCCCTTTCCCTGCTCCTCCCGGCCCTCCCTGATTTCCTGGAATTTTGGGGAGGGAACCGGAGGAATAATTCCCATTTGAGCTCAGATCCCTTCATTCTCCAGCCCCAAAATCCCCACTTTTAAGCCCCAAAATCCCAAATTTCCACGGAAAATCCCCCGATTTCCAACCCCAATGTTTCCACCCCGAGGCCTTTCCCGGAATTCCGGGATTTTTGGGACTCACCCAGCGCTGCCCTGAGCTCCTCTGGGATCCAAAGGGAAAAAGGGGGGGGGGGTTAATTTGGGATATTTTTTCCTTCCCATCCCAAAAAATCCTCCCCCGGAGCAGGAGCCGAACCCACCGAGCCGCTCGTCCGCTTCTCCTGGAAAAACAGGGAAGGAAAACGGGATTGGGAAATCCCCGGGGATTGGGGAGATTCCCTTGGGATTCGGGGGTCAATCAAATCCCTTTGGACTCCAGGGAAACCCTTGGATTGGGGAGATTCCCTTGGGATTGGAAAATCCCTTGGGATTGGGGAGATTCCTTTGGGATTCCAGGGTCAATCAAATCCATTTGGATTCCAGGGAAACCCTCTGGATTGGGGAGATTCCCTTGGGATTGGGGAGATTCCTTTGGGA